ATTTCAAGGGTAAATGCTAGTGGAAATCGGACAAGGGGTAGTGATGATCTTGGGCGAAGATCAAGTGTAACAATATATATGTTAGATTTTTATAAGAGTTTTATAAGTTGGAACTGAACAAAAAATATGCATTTATATGTTTTTTATATAGAATATGCAAATAAACAGATGTCACTGTATATTTTATATATAATTTATATATATAATTTATAATATAAAAAAACTCTTTCCTGCAATACTTCAATCCATAAAGAATTTTCTTTTTTGGTAATAACATGAACAGCAAATGGTAAACAGTCAGCAAGAATTATTCATTGGGAAAAAAGTTCATCTTCACTTACTGCAGGGTGCAAGGAGTCGATTAACTCTCCATAGAGAAGTTGATACTTTATAGGAGACAAAAACCTTTTTGAACAAACTCTTTGCTTTATCAAGTAAAACCTATATAAGTGACCTCCAAGTCAAAGGAAAACTTTTTTACTTATTTCTATACAAAACACATCCAAAACATAAATAATACTATCTCTTCTTAAATACTCTCAAAAACTATTTCAAAAGACAGCATTTTATTTTTTTCAGAGTTTTTTGTTTTCTATACAGTTTCTATAGTTTTTACATAATTTTTCTCTTATCAAAAACCACATCCAGTTTACCCCTATCAAAAGATCTATCATATTCAATACATCAATTAATACTTGTACAACTTTCAAAAAAATCAAAACGATACAACAACCTACCAGATTGGAAGAGTGCGAGTCAGTGCCCTGCATGGGTTCTGGTAGTATCATCAAAACAAACCCATATCAAGAAATACCATATAACTCCGTTCTACAACAAAACATAAATCTGAAATCAATTCATCACACAGTCAAAAAGCTAAAACATCACATGACCAAATCTATTAAGTTAAATATGGCTTGCACGATACCAACATCTGACTGAACCAATACAACTATATTCAGGAACCACATCTAACAAAAGTTTCAACAATTTTTTTTTTCTCATCTTATTTAAATCTTATAATGTTGGCGATTTTGCCCAAAATGTTTTTTTATTTTTTATAACAAATAGTTCCTCAGGTTTTTTCTATCCAAGGGTTTTTCAGATGATATATTTGTTTAATAGGTAGTAGGCTAATATCTATAGTGATATAATTCATATCTTATATTAATCATGTAATAAGTTAAATTTTTACTCCATTAATAAAGATCATGAGTAATGCCTCACTTTAACATTAAAAAAAAAAATTTATAATATATTTTTTGAAAATTTTTTTTTTACTTTAAATCAATATTTTCAAATAAATTTATTAATTAAGCATTGATAAACTTTAATCTTATATTATTTAGATTTTAAAAAAGATATGTTTGAAATTTTATATTAATTGAATTATTATTTATTAAATTACATTAATAATAAAAAAAAACTTGTTTTTTTGTCACATATTGTATAATATTATATGTTTACAATTAATTTGACACTTCAGACATAAAATGAGTTGTTAAGAAATTTTACAGTTAAACTATGAATTTATAACATAATGCAAGTAATAGAGTCCATTACAATAGTTCGAAATTGTAAGGTCATTTGAATAAAAGTCTTTAAATACTTTCTTGTAATCATTAAACTAACTTCGAATAATTATATTTTAACATAAAAAGTGATAGATTTATGTCCACGTGATAGTGTTTTTTATCAGAACACCTAAACCAATAACTTGACAAATACTGTATAATTTAGAATTATTAATACAGTAATTAGCCATAAATAAAATGTAACGCATAACTATTGAAAGAAAAAAAGTATTTTTTTCCTTCCATAAATAGAGATCTTTATTCAATATTTAGATTAAAGATAAAAGATTGTTTATATGCTCCAAGTTTTTATTTTCAATTTTAATAAAAAAATTTTCAATTGATTAACTTATTTGTTCAACTTTATTTATCGAACAATCTTTATATAATTTTTATGGAAACATATTGTTATCGATACACAGCGAATCTGTCGCTGATCCGGACTAGGTTGTCATATAATGATAGATATGTAGGGGCTTGTGTCGCTGGCTAACCAGAGGCACTTGTTAATAAACTCCCTTCTTTCTAGTCGCCGGTCTAATTCTATACCACAAGCTATTGTGATTCCTCAAGATTCTATAAGCGGCAAACAATCAATTAAGGCAAGTTTATTAATTATAGTGATGCAATTACAAGTATTACAAGTTTATACAATATTGATAGTTACACCCTATTTTAACTAGCTAAACCCTCTCTATTTATACCCGCCACGACGCGTACACTGATCTACTATTGCGTCCTGCAAATTCCCACCTAAACTATTTAGACTTCTTGATACTGAGTCTGATGGATCACACCCTGTCACATAACAAATGTTGATTCCAGCAACCTATACATTTTTCCCTGCTAACACTTCCCCCATGCTTATTTTATGCATTCCTGCACATATCATCATTCCACACTATCAGTTTGGAATATCAGTTCAGGATTGTCTGGGATTTTAGGTTATTTACCCTGGTCACTAGCTAATGTTTGCTTGTCATTACTTGTGATGATAGGGTATTGGATGGTGAAATGATGCTGGTTGGATTAGCAGTGCAGTCAATTTGTGATTGCATACTCGCTGGTCTTGATTTGATATTGCATTCTTTGGCTTCTTGTCCTTCATCATGTAGTGTATCGGGGTTTCTACAACCAGGGTGGATTGTTTGTTTGCTTACTCCTATGTCTTTATTGTGATTGTTAATCTGAAACTGGCATGCCATTCCATTTATAGTTTCTATATCCAATCCTTCATGAACTATGATATCCTTCATCGCTCTCATTACTGTTAATCCATGTGTCACGCTAGTTTCTGTTTTGCAGTTCCACTTGTTTTTACTGAAGTTTTACAGCACATTACGTGACGTCTCAAGGCCTCAAAGCACATTTATAGCATGTTGCTTCATGAACCTGTTCAACTCCATATTTCTTTTAATCCGTCCAGTCCTAGTGATATTAGCAACTACACACATGTTACTATTAACCAGAATTACAGCATTTACTCTCAACCTTATCCCCATGGTGTCTGGTCTCAAGGTCATCAATTTTTCCGTGATCTTGTATCGGTGTGGGATTATCGGCTGTTGGCATTTCACAGGTGGGTTGTAGGTAAAGATGGGTCCTTAAATTAAAAATGAGGACATAATTCAAATGTCTCTCACTATTAAAAAAGTTTTTTTTTAAATATAAGATTAAACTACTTACAAAGATTTTTTGCAATTAAGACACTTGATTCAAGTGTTTTTTGAATTATATTTCTATTAAAGTAATGAATAAATAGTTATGTCCCTTCAAAAGGGACATAATTGATTTGCGAAATTTTATATACTAAATAGTTAGGGACCCATCCTTAGTTGTAGGGTCTAATGGTTGTCAATGCGCATAGTTGTTTCATATTGATTGTGATTGCTATTGTTCTATTGTTCGGGGTATCGCTATTGCTGTTGAGCGTACATCACATCAATTTTGCACACTCAGGTTTTAGGATAGTATTCTCGATCATATTTGTGCGAAGTTCTTTTACTGAACCCTTTGTCCAAACCATCTTATGAATTATCATCATTGCGTGACATACTACTTTTGCAAAGACCTCAGAGTGCATCTTTATATGCTTTCTTCTTAACTTGCAGCCGAATGTATTTATCAGTTGCTGTCACAGTATCGTGATACTACGCAGCCTGAACATCTTATCACCCGTTGTGTGTGTCTCCCAAGTAATAACTGATATCATTTCTCCTTTCATGATTTCTTCTCTTATACCCTGACCGTTCTTGTGTAGCTTTCACTCTGTCAATGCATTATCATCGGTATCGACCACTCGTTGTATTGTCTCAGAGCTCCTTATCTCTTGGATCATTCTTGCATAAATATTCTGATCTTGGCTTGCTATTTGTTCTTCCCCTAGGTTATTGTTGGCTTCTATCTCTTTTTTCGTGATTCGATCACCATCACATACTTCTGAAGGTTGGTCTACTGAAATGGTATCTTGTTTTTTTACTAATGCTGCTTCTATTTGTTCAAATCGGTCTTGCAGTTCTTTCTTCGCTTCTTGCTGTATTGTACAACTGCTCGGGAAATTCTCATTATATTGCAATATGTTGCTCTCAGGTTTTTGGACGGTACTTATGATTGCATTCTCATACTCGATCAGGAGTTCTTTTACAGGATGCTTTGTCCAAACCGTTTTGTAAATCGTCATCATTGTATGAAATGCTAGCTTTACGAAGACATTGGAGTAAGTTTTCATGACTTTCTTTTGAATTCTCGGAGAGATGCCCTTATTACTCATCACCAAGATGCTGGAATAGTGTGCAGCCTAGACATCTCGTTGCCAGGTGCGTGTGTCTTCCATATAGTCACAGTCATTATTTCTTTTGTCTTGATCCATTTTTTCATACTCTGGCCACTCTGATGTATTTCATTATTGGTGTTAATGGTATGCCATACTATCTCAGAATACCCTGTTTCTTCTTTGGCTTCGATCTGATCTTATCACATAGTCCTGATGGTACTTTTGTTGACGCCACACTTTGTTCTTTTGCCAATGTCTTTTCTATTTGTCCAGATTGGTCTTTTTTGAGTAACATTAATGTCTCACTTTGTTGGACTACTTGTTCTGCGAAGTCTGGGACATCAGGATACAATTCAATACTAAGGTCGGGCTTAATACTCACTTCCTTGATAAGACCTTTCTTCCTGTCAATCTTTTCTTGGTTCTCGCATATCATCAACGATTTTTTCATTACTGCGACATCTTGTTTTTTTGCTATCATTTCTTTTATTGGCCCATATCAATCTTCTGACTTACTCTTATCCTTTTCCTGCATTTTATTGACTGTCTTGGGATTCTCTTTGGTCACTGCTGGCATTTCTTCCAATTGGAATAACAATGTGAATGGTTTTGGGGTCTTCGGTTGTGCTTCATCATTGGAGTCAGGACTACTACTCGTTTTTTGTAAAGCTTTTCTTTTATTATTATTAAAGAATATTAACCATACTTCGTCCTTATCTGTTTTTCTCTTCTTATATGAACTTCCATTTCACTAAGTGTTTCTATCAGGTCCCTTATCATTGATCTCGTCAGTTAGTACCTTCTTGGTCTTATTATTCGAGATCAGAGCCTTTACTGGGTGTTCCTTAGTGGTTTTCTTCTAGTAACTACTGATATCATAATCTTCCTTATACTTCCGATAGCCTCAGTCTCCTCTTGTTGATTTCTTTCCAGCACAACCTTTTTTCTTCGCATTTGATCTTGTAACTTTTGCACATGGTCCTCTAATTCTTTTATCTTACTCGCTTTTCTTTCCACATTATCTTCAATTTCCATTGCTATCCTGAGGGCTTCTTCTGAGTCGGTCGCATTCATTACGGCCAGTAAAGACAATATGTCCTTTCTTAACCTGGTCACGAGCAGCCATTCTGCCAGTTTTCTATAGTAGTTTCTGTCGGGGTAGACTTTCTCGAGTAGTCTTTTGAACCTGCAAATATACTCAGATACCTTTTCATTTTTTTCTTGTTTTATGTTTTATAGTTTATTTTGTCATTGGCGCTGTTGCTGTTCACGCATCATGAAATGTTCCATGAATGCTGGCGTGAAATATTTCTTGCGATTATATTTCTTGTCTCACTAGGTAAAACGGTCGCTATTTTCATCGTACCAGTCTAATAATGCAGCTTCTTCTAGATACTCACCTACTCTTCTTAATTTTTTATCGTTCATTTAGTTATTGCGGTTGGCGGTTTGGTCGTAGAGTTTTATTCACAACCACAGATTCTCTCCTGCTTTACCTTTAAATCTGCACAGCCTTCTTTGCTTTACTTTCTTCCCTTCATTTTCTTTTGACTTGACTTTCTATTTCCAGCTTGCACGTACATCCATCGGTCTTCTTGGGACATCTAGTTGTGAGAAAGTGGACAGACTAACTTCATCATCCATTGTGTTATATTCTGTGTTATATTCTGTGTCATACATTGTTGATTATCAATCGACTATTACAGTTTGTCACAGATTTTACACAGGTGTAAAGGGGGTGAAGTTTTGTTTTGGCAAATAATATATTTTTTAATTAGGGTTTTTAATTAATACAAGTCCTTTCTAAAATCGGTATAACTATTGTTTGCACAATTTTATTGGAGGAGGGGGGTAACAAACGTTGTTTCCAATTGAATCTGCTTCAGTTCTCCACCAAATGTTATTGGTACATGGTGAGTCTGTCGTTGATCCAGACTAGGTTGTCATAACGATAGGTATGTAGGGGCTTGTGTCACTTGCTAACCAGAGAAACTTGTTAATAAACTCCCTTCTCTTGTATTACCAATCTAATCCTCTACCACAATCCTTTATGGGCTTCTAGGATTCCTACAGTGGTTAATATCCAATTAAGGTAAGTTTATTAATTATAGTAGCACAATTACAAGTATTATAAGTTTATACAATATCGATAGTTACTCCCTATTTTAACTAGCTAAACCCTTCCTATTTATAGCCGCCATGACGCGTACGCTGATCTACCATCGCATCCTGCAAATCCCCACTTAAACTATTTAGACTTCTTGATGCTGAGTCCGATGGATCGCGCCCTGTCACGTGACAAACGTCGATCCCAGCGACCCATACATTTTTCCCTGCTAACAATATCTTTTACGCGTTATTTGTTTTGTTTCTCAGTGCAAATTTACTCTTCGTGCCATAACTTATGGGTTTGTTTGTG